AGTAGAGTTAAAGGGCCTCCAGCATTTCCTGAGGGCCCACCAGCTTTTAATTCCTTTCTCCACTTCCTCCTCTCTAACTTTAGCATCCTGAAGGACACCCTAGGGGAGAAAATTTGGAAGGAGCATCAGTGAGATGGCTGTGAAGTTAATAGGGAAATGAGCTCTGGGAATGAGTGAGCAAAAGTTGAGGGACAGCCTCAGGCAAGGGGCAGTTCTCAGCTTTACTTCTGTGGGCAGCTCCCTCTGTGTTTAAAACACCCCTGAGGCCTGTTATCATCATCTTTATGGGATAGCACAAATCTAAATATTGAGGACCTGACAAGTTACAAAAATGTATGTAAAATGGGATAATGGAATTACATTTCATTTGAAAAATCAAGCACATTAAAGAAAACCTAAATCTAGAAAAAAAATAGAACAAATAATAAAAGTTTTATTTCTGGTTGTAAAATCATAGATCATTTCCATTATCTTATTTTCAGTTATATGTATTTTCCTTTTACTGAAAACTTAAAAGTTGAGGTGGTGAGTATGATTCATTTTTTTTACAAGTGATTCTCTAAGTATATCAAATACATTCACCTCATAACTCAGTGTAAAAGTCCTTAAAATTGCTTATCCCACATTTCCAGAGGCCAAGATCCTTTGTTTTGTTCCTAAGAACCTCTTTTTCCTCACTGTATCGATGGAGTGTCTTCCCAACAATTTTTCCAGAATCTTCCACTAGCCTTCCCAAATCATCCAGCCTCTAATTAGGTATCTTTCTTTCAGTTGTAAAAATCCTACTTGCCTATTTCTAGCTTTTATAGCTCTACAAATCTTTCTATTATCCTAACTAGCACCTTCAGGAAGGTAGAAAGGTATCAAGGAGCTGTGAGCAACCTGGAAAAGAGTAAAGAAGTTATAAATACTTTTCTGAGTTTTCAACAAACATGTGAGGCATATAATCATCTAAGTTTTATTTTTTTTTAAATTATGACCTACATGGGGTGTTTTTGTTTTTGTTTTTGTTTTCGTTTTTCAACAATGTGCCTTTTCTCTGTGCTGTCAACATATTTTTTCCTGCCCCTGGGAAAACACATTTGTATTTTATTGACCACTCTTAAGCATTGACAAATAGTCACATTTTCAGAAATTAAAAATTCTAACTTTAATTTATCATTAGTTTAAAATTCCTCACTCCTTCCTATCTCCTAGGTACACATAAGGGGGAAGTGGTAAGGTGCATGTCAAAATTCCTACTTCTTACTTTACTTCCCCACTTACCCTTCCTCTCTGTCTTCTTCAAGGCCAGAGCAGCAGGAGTGAGAGGGGAAAGGGTCAGAAAGGATCTTGCTTGACTGATACCACTGGAGTCCAGGATGGTAAATCAGGGTGTGTCAGATGTTTAGATGCCGATTCTTCCTTTTCACTGTGGACTCCCTACCAGGCATCCACAACCACCTCCCTGGCACAAATGACTCATCTCTTTGTTCCTCATTCCTGGCTGTCATCACTGCCTGCCCCCTACAGTCCTTTCCACACTATGCCATTGTTGGGGTTGCTTCATCCTGCAAGTGGTCAACATCTCAAGCAGAATCCCTAACAACCCACACTTGACTCCCTTCTCAGATCCACTTCTGATCCAGAGGATACCTGCTCATCCTTATCCTACCAAACTCTAAATACTCAAGCTGTAGCCTCTCCAGCCAAGGTGATTGACTCTGCTAAACGCTGACTTTCAATTTCCCAAGTGTGTATAGAATACCATTCCTACATCTTCCACCCTTTAAGGAACACAATCCTGAGTACTATTGAGACTGGAGATGGCATGAAGGTCACCAGACACATTTGGGGTTACTTTTTTTACAGTAGTGCACAGAATGTAAAGCATCCTACACTTTAAAATGTGAGAGCCCTAAATGCTTATTGTTCTTGGCTTTTGACCCTCAGCAGCCAAAACAGGTATAATCAAAAAAATTAATATTCCATTAGATGGATTCACACTCCTCTGGCATGTGTGAGGCACTGGGTT